CCTGGGGGACGGATAACAGAAAAGTGGGTGAAGGGAGACGACAGACAGGGCAAGATATGACAAAATAGTAATTTATAAATTATCAAGGGTTCATGAGGGAGGAGGCAGCGGGTAGGGAGGGGGAAAAAATGAGGACCTGATGCCAGGGGCTTAGGTGGATGGAGAGCAATGGTTTTGAGAATGATGAGGGCAATGAATGTACAAATGTGCTTTACACATTTGATGTATGTATGGATTGTGATAAGAGTTGTATGATCCCCTAATAAAATGATTAAAGAAAAAAGGAAGTTTTCAAAGGGAGTCAAAGGCAGATAAAAAACAAACAACTCTACGGATAACCCTCTCCCTGGGGGCCGGACATCAGAAAAGTGGGTGAAGGGAGACATCGGACAGTGTAAGACATGAAAAAATAATAATTTATAAATTATCAAAGGTCGTGAGGGAGGGAAGGTATAAATGAGCCGATAATAAGGGCTCAAGGAGAAAAAGTGTTTTGAGAATGATGGCAACAAATATACAAATGTGCTTGACATAATGGATGTATGTATGTATTGTGATAGAGTTGTTTGAGCCCCCAATAAAATAATTAAAAACAACAATTAAAAAAAAAAAAACCAAACAAACAGCAAAAACCTAGCTCCCCGGATGGGTTTTGGGCTCACACTAAATCTTAGCTCCAATTTAAGAACAATTAGTTCTTATGTTGTGGCCCTGCTCAACACTTGCCCTCAGGAAGGAAACACTGAAGATATGGGTGCTATAACAAAATGCGAAGAAATTAGATGGTGTCTGGCTATCAGATAAAATAGCATCTGGGGTCTTGTTTCTATAACAAGCAACCATCTAAATGAGATTACAACTAAATCCACATGGAAGAAGCACACCATCATCAGTCACTGAAGGATTGTAAATCATCTGAAGCTAAGAGAGGGTTTACTATCAGAGCCTGAATTGTGAGACTATGGTTTGCAAAAGGCTGTGGATGACAGTGGGAGCCCAGGATTTATATGTGGGAACTGCATGGGAAATAAGCCTCTGGTGAACTCCCTGTAGCCACAGTTGAGGGATGGAAGGAGTGGTTACTAAACACAGTGCATTGAAGAGATGATAAATTTGACTTGAACAGTTAAAACTTGGTTAGCAGATCCCCCCTAGGATGCATGCCGGATCTGATCTGGTTTCCAAAATCTTCTGTATGCTTGTATTGTTTTTGTTTGTTCATATTAGGGTGTATCAGAGGTGTTAAGACATTGGGGGGGGTCACTGTCTTGAAGTTGAGTTGTATGTTTTTGTTTATTGGTATATGAAACCCAGGATTGATGAACCGATAGGGATAGCAAGTAGAATAAGAGTTTCAGGGTAGGGGTGGGGTGGTAAAAGGGAGACGATGTCGCGTCCAGGAAGAAAAAGAATGTTTGGAAACTGATTGTGGTAGCAATTGTTCAATTCTGCTTGATGTGATTGAACTATGGAATGATATGAGATATATATCAACTCCCAATTAATAATAAATTTAAAAAGAAAAAATACCTAGAAGTTTGGTATTCTTAGCCAAGACATTAATTTGGCATCTAACAAAAAAAATGTAGAATTTCATAATTTCCTCTTGCACTAGAATTCCCAGTGGTTTGTTCTAGGTGATTGAAAGTTTCACAGTGAAACTTTCTTAGTTTTTATGATCTCTAAGCATTAACATACAAAAAAGATTTATATCACTTTGATCACAATGGAGTTTAGCTAAGAGGTACTCAATATGGAGGAAGTGGAAAACCTCACTGTGTTCACTGTACATGAGAATTCTCTTTAATTTGAGCTGAATACATGAGGACAGGAAAGCCAGCGGTAGAAGAGGGTCTGTTGAAGATGTTGAACAGGAGGCCTCAGACCAGGATACATTTTTTTTTTCTGCCTCACTTTTTAGGTGACTACACATCAAATTTTACTTTTAAATGAAACATGTTCTCTTCAAAATACAAAATGTTCATGTTAAGGAAATAATAAACTGTCAAGACTTTAGTAGCATTTTGGATTCTGTAGAGACTACTGATAAAATGATAACCCAATCCAGCTGAATCATAGCAACCCTATGTAGACAGAGTAGAAGTGCTCATTGGGTTTCTGAGACTATAAATCTTTATGGGAACAGATACCTTCATCTTTCTCCTCCATAGTAGGTGATTCAAATTGCTGCCCTTTCAGTCAGTAGTGTAATACTTAATCCACCACACCACCAGATCTCCTTAATAATATTTATTTTGTATTCTCATTAGGAAATTTTAATATTAAATATATATTACTGTCCTGGAAATACTGGTACTCCACATCATATTCAACCCCCAAGTTACTACCTATCCAAAGACCCCTCAGAAAACACGTGGTCTTCTAAATGATCACAGCCTTGAAAGCCCTGTAAAGTAGTTCCACTCTGCACACGTGTCTCCACGAACTGGAACTGACTCAACAATAACTAACGCAAAGAAGCAGCCAGGGAAAACTTACTGGAAATGCTCACCTGAGTATTAAGAGTAGGTAGGCCTTCATTAGACTGAGATGAAGAATGACAAGAGTAAGAACTCCTAAAGGTATGGTACGTTCAGATGAGTGATGTATTGTGGATTTTTGGGACAGAAAGCATGAGGCTTATCTAGCTCTACTTTTCTC